ACGTTCTGGGATTCTGTGATTCTGTGACCTTACCTGCACATCCCACAGCAAGGAGCCCTGGGTCTGCCAACCACCACTACAGCTCCCTGTGCTCCCAGCAGGCTGGGTCTCCTACTCTGGCACCATTGGTCCTGGCAGCCTTTTTTCCTAGAGGATTGCTTGTCCTTGGCAGGAGATGACCATAAGGAGCCTCCATAATGAGATGGGACTGAGCTTGAGCCAAAAAAGCACAGGATCCACATCAAGAGGAACCACAGCCAGATAGAGAAGCCAAGCTCTGGACTGAGCTTAAGTAGTGCTCATGGCATGTGGGTGGGAGTGATTGGGTTCAGGTGAGGCACATCATGGCCATTAAGTGTATTAGTGCACTCAGGGCCCTGGAAAGCATGGATTAAGTAATATTAAAATCAGGCAGTGTTTAACTGCACTGTTGCTCTGCGTGAAGCATGCAGGAGGCTGGAAGCTGTTGGAACAAGCTCCCCACCTCTGCCTGTCGCCTACCACCAGTTATACAGGGGCTGAAATGAAAGAGCTTGACATGACAAGGTTCCCCCAGAGCTGAGCCATGACTTACCAGCCCCATGAGCCGCTGAAGCTGCCAGCTGTGTGTTTGCACTCCAGTCTGAGACTCGTACAGTGACAAAAAAACATCCCCTGGGTTGAACCACGTGCCCGGCAGCCAGCTGGGCTGGTCCAGCACGGTCACCGCAGCACCCGGCCAGCCAACTCACCCCAAGGCAGAGATGAGCTCTGTGGTGGCTGCAGGACGATAGGCAGGCACACGCTCCAGTGTGGTCAGGGTTTGGGGTGATCAAGGCTCATGGAGCTGTGCCGAAACATCTTAACTTCACTTTTTCCCTGAAACAGGGTGCTTTTTGTCCAAGTGGTTCTTACAGCTGTTGAGGTCTTCCTCTCGGGGCCATGGTAGAGTACAGTACAGTGGCAGCTCTGTGCATCTGTGGCTTGTTCACGCATGCGTATGTGTGCCAAAAGGTGCTCTCAGCTTGCTTGCAGGACCCTCTGTGACCTGCTTGGTGGCACCCACCATCACCCCACAGACACTGGTGGCACAAGGCCCACTGAGTCATGGGCTGCCCTGCCACCCTCTCACCTCTGCTCTGCTTCTCCCCACCTCCACCAGTGAGACCTTTGGTCTCCTCTTGTGCTTGTCACTTGTCAAGCTTGTGGAGCTTGCGAAAAAGCCAGAAGCCAGCTGAGAGCGGAGCAAGCAGGGTGTGCTGACAGTGCTGCCTCTTTGCTGTCCCCGAGCCGATCCCCCTGCCTGGTAAGAGATGCTTTTGGTGTTTTTTGACAGGCAGGCAGGGTGTGTGGGTTGCCAGCTCAGTGCCTCTGCCCAGGGCACTCACCAACAGTGAGGGACAGAAGGAGCTTTATTACATTTGTTGCAAACATACTATTAGTCTTAGAAGGTTAAAACCATTTCAGCTGCAGAGCTTGCTCCCCTCTGTAGCCAGCTGCTTGCTCAGCTGCTTGGACACAGGAGAGCAAATTTCCCCTGCAGCCCCCCGAGGCTGGCTGGCTGGAGCTAGCGGCGCGCTTTGCACCGCTAGGAAGAGCCTTTTCCTAACCAGCCCCACTGCCCTGGCACCAGTGGTGCCTCTCACACCGGGGGTCTCACTGACCCCGGGATTCTGGTGGACCAGGAGTGAGCTATGGCTAAGGAAGTGCCATGGCCAACATGCCCAGCCCAGGAGCGGGAGAGATGTGGGTGATGCACTGCTGGGTGCCACCGGAGCAGCTGGAGCCGCCTGTGCCCCAGGTATCAGCATAAACAGGGCAGGGCTGATGGCGATAATCCCAGAGGCAAAAGTTCAGGGCAGCATTTGTTTACCCGGTGTGCGTGGCGTGGGGACGGGCTGCGTCTCTGTCTCTCCTGCAACCCCGTGTC